GCTGAGCTGTGGCCAGAACAGGTGGTGAAGAGGCAACTGTAGGGAAGTCTCAAGGCTTTTGCCATGAAAAGAGAACAGAGGGGCTAGAGGGGCACATGGGGAGTGGAGGAGGACCCCGGGGCTTCTGACCCATTCTTTCTGTTTTCTTTAAATATGAGGTGAGGCCATTGCTGAGGGGGCCAGGGTCACAAAAGGTTAGAGGATGGGTCAAGGGCCAGGCAGCGAGCATTGCAAGGGCCCTGGAAATGAAGCGTGGCGGGCGTTGCTGAGCAGAGACCTTGTCTCTGGGATGCAAGTAGCTGGGCTCCTGGCAGGGATTGGCCAGGGCGAAAGAGGTTGTCCAGAAGCAGAGGAGTGAGAGTTGGACCAGAGGGCGGAGGCAGCCTTTCTGTGCTAGAGATCCCAGTTGGGGACCACTTATTGTTCTTCCCACACAGCCCTGGCCTGGGATTGAGGAAGGGAGGGCTCCTCTCTGCTAGGGCCGGGGCCAGGGCAAGAGTCAGGAGGGAGTGTGTGGGTAGAGCTGTTCTGGGGTCAGTTATCTATCAGAAACCCTTCCCCGCCTGTTCCTTAAATCAAGCTGGCCATTTTCCATCAACCCCACCCCCTCAGGCCCAGGGCTCCCAAGGCCCCTGCCTCCCAAGGGTTATAGAGGCAGCTCCAAGTCCAGTCTGGAACATGATGTTCCCACCAGGGCAGGGGCAGGACTCAGGTCCCCCACAACCCTATCTCCTCCCCTGCATCCATAGCCCTGGGAAGTAGGCCAATTGGGGAGAGGCTGGCTGCAAATCATTCCTGATTTTGTTGTTGTTGTTGTTACGGAATAAAAGGCAGGAAAATTACCAAGAAAAGACTCCCACAGGGCCAAGATGGAGGCGGCTCCTAGCACATCGTCCTGGACACACACCCCATTCTCACCATGTCCAGGCTGGAAGGACACTGGAAATTCCCATTGTGCTGGAAGCCTGCCTGGTCTCCGTGAGCCCTACTCTGACATGCTTAATGTACCTTTGCCTTCACTTCGTAAACCTGGCCCATGACCAGTTCCCAGGTGCAAGGCTAGCCCTCCCAGAATATAAAACTAGCTTTATCCACTTTTCAGGTATGAGAATAACTCACATAGGTTTTCAGATGTGAGGCCAGTTCTCTGTCAGGGAGTGGGCCTGCTTTTTGCTGTGAGCCAGAGATGCCCAGCTTAAAGTGAGCACAAGGGAGACACCATACCAGCCACTGAACCCCAGCCCCCTACCGTGGTTGGGTGTAAGCCCAGCCCAGGCAGGTGAGAGGCTCAACTAAAATTCCACTCGGTCGAGGTATGTGGGCAAAGCCAAGGACAGTGGAGTTGATGCCTTCCCATAAGCATGCTTTTTTCTTTATAGGGGAGCAAGCCAAGGTGTTGGAGGGTCTCCAACTCCTCCCCATCGGACCAGCCTCTGCCTGGAGCTGCCAGTCCAGTGGAGCCATCTTGAGTTCTGAGGAAGGGGCAGTGTCCTGAGTGGGGTTGGGGGGTTACATGCTTTCTGTCCCCTAGCTCTGTCCTGGTTAGGAGAGCACTCTGGCTTCCAGACCTGGAAGCTTCAACAGCCCCTCATCGGGGGGCATATGAGCCTGTATGCGGCCTCATTTCACATCCTGGACATGGGGCTGTGGGACAGCTCTGGGATGGGACATCAGGAGTCCAACGTGGCTCGTGTGCTATTCCAACTTGCCTGGAATTGATGCGCATCTGCCCCAAAGGCCTCTGCCCTGACTGTCCTGCAGATCCAAACCTCTGCATGGAGTCCCCCACTCCTCCAGTGGCCCAGGCTGGGCTCATGGCAGACATGGGAGAGAGCATGCTGCAGATGTCCCCTCAAGCCTAGGCCTTTCATTTTCAGAATGAAAATGTCCAAGTTAGCTATGCTTGGATGATATGCTCGAAAGTGGTGGTTTGTTTATCTGGTGCATCTAGACTTGAGCCTTTCCTTTTTATCAGTTTGCCAGAAAAAAACCCAACTGCAAATCCCTGCTTCCTCATTCTGGGGCTGGAGGACCTGGCCAGAAAGGTGATTGCCGAATCCTGGCTTCCTGAAGAGTACATAGTGACTTTTGACCCTTGGCTCGGTGCAATTCTGCAGAGGGAGGAAGTGGTGGGCTGATGGCCAAGAAGGCCATGGAGATTTGGCTGGTACTATTTTGACTGCCTTCCCCAACAGCTGACCGGCAAACGCCCATCCTTCTGCCTATCAGGATGGACTGATTGGTGGGGTCAGGTCCTGCTGGCTTTCCTAGTGTCTGGGGGTAGCTCCTTTGGTTTCACACTCCAGCCTGGGCAGCCTCCTGCCTTCTAGTCTACAAATGGGCTTGGCACTGCTTGACTTTATATACTTAAAGACAAGCCAGAAAACTGGTTTGATAGAAGAGAAAGAAGTGCTCACAGGAGCAAGGATTCTGGTTGGGAAGAACTCAAAGAGGAAGGGGTAGACATGTCACACGGAAGAGACAAACTTTCAGAAAAGTTTGATATTTTAGCACGTGACATTACAAAATGCAACCTAGACCCAAAAGGCATCTCTGGCCAAGTTTCATCATGATGTTTAAGATAACTAGGATGACGGTGACAATTTCTGAGTCCCTACCTAGAGGGAGTCTCCTTCAAATCTCAAATCTAGTCTTTTTCCTTTTACAGGGCCCCAGATGCTTGTGTAATCAGAATGGTGTGATGTGGGCTAGAGTCGTGAGGGATAGTGCATGCTTGGCACTCACTTTACCAAGAGGCAATGGCAGTCCTGAAGGAGAGGAACAGCATGACCAAGGGAAGCAATAAGGCACTGGGAACACGATCATCCTTGAAATAGGAGACTCAGGCTGCTGCCTGTGTGAGTCTGGAAACATGCAGGATAAGCCCCATCATCAGTGCAAGAAAGGTCCAGAATGCCCTGGTGAATCTCACTACCGTTATTCTTGCTAATTCCTAGGGTTTAAACACAGTGTCAGGAATGTCCACAGCAGGTCATCAGAATTTGTCCAATGAATGAATAAACCACGTTCAGACCTAATTTCTGACATTCTAATTCAGAACTTGGATAATACTTATTTAAATTCACAAGTGATTGGGGTGCCTGGGTGGCTCAGTTGGTTAAGCGTCCGACTTTGGCTGAGGTCATGATCTTGCAGTTTGTGAGTTTGAGCCCCACGTCAGGCTCTGTGCTGGCAGCTCAGAGCCTGGAGCTACTTCAGATTCTGTGTCTCCTTCTCTCTCTCTGCCCCTCCCCCACTCATGCTCTGCCTCTCTCTCAAAAATAAATAAAACATTAAAAAAAATTTAAATTCACAAGTTCAGTATGTTCCTGGTCAACACCCTGTATTTTATCTGCATATCTCCCAAATAATCAGGTAACAGTATCTGTGCCATTATCTGTAATGGGGCATTTGTCTGTAGAAGGGATGGGTAAAGGAAACAAAATTTATACTTAACATGATGTCTTATGAGACCATCACAGATTCCTTAATCACAATACAAGTAAACTATTTTAATTCTGTTCTTATAAAGTGGATGCACTAAGATCACTGAGGATATATTCGGCTACCTTTGATGGGGCAAATTTAGAGCTTCATGTTGGAACATACAAGAAAGAAAAGTCCTCAAGTGACATGTACTCTGAGACTGTGGACAATATGATCTTAACATTGTCCCAATGCTTATTAACTGTTTACAGCAATATCACCACTAAAACCACAAAGGCCAAACCACACTGAATTTAATTTTATTTTTTTAAATGTTTTTTTTTTTTAATTTTTTTTTTATTTCTAGGAGAGAGAAAGACAGCATGAGCAGGGGAGGGTCAGAGAGAGAGGGAGTCACAGACTGAAACAGGCTCCAGGCTCTGAGCTGGCGGTCAGCACAGAGCCCGACGTGGGGCTCGAACCCACGAACCACAAGATCATGACCTAAGCGAAAGTCGGACGCTTAACCAACTAAGCCACCCAGGCGCCCCTTGAATTTAATTTTAAAGGCCATTTTGGCTTTGCGAGAGTTCAACTACTAGTTTCTTGAGCCCCATGGGGGTATTTTGTATGTTCACCCTTGTGTACTGCCACAAGGTCAGGTAGTGGGTGATGGAAGATGATTTTATTGTAGAACAGCTTCTTTTGGTCACTTGGAAAGAAACTGCAGGTATACTGGGTTATCAAAGAATCATCGCTAGTTCTTGTTTCAGCCATGTTACCGAGAAGGAAATGGTAGAAGTAACACTGTCAGACAGGAGAAGTTTTCTGCTGAGCTTCACTGGTGAGTTCATCTTTCCTGGCAAGGGATATACTGGATGCCCTTCCATACCATCTTCAACAACTCAAATTCCATGCTGTGATAATTTTATGTATCAACTTGGCTGGGACATGGGGTGCCCAGATATTTGGTCAACCATTGTTCTGGGAGTTTCTATAAGAGTGTTTCGGGATGAAATTAATATTTAAATCAGTAGATTGAGTAAAGCACATTGCCCTCCACAGTGTGCGTGGGCCTCATCAAATAAGTTGAAGGCCCAAATAGGACACAAGGACTGACACTCAAGTAAGAGAATTTTCCTGCCCTAACTGCCTTCAAACTGGGGCATCAGCTCTTCCTGGGTTTCAAGCCTCTGGAAAGGAACTGCACTATCAGATCTCATGGTTCTCAACCCTTCAGATTCAGACTGGAATTTAATCAGCTCTCCTTGGTCTATACGTTGCCAGCTCATCACGCAGGTCATGAGACTTGCCTGCCTCCATAATTGCAGGAGCCAATTCTTTATAATAAATCTCTTTACACACACACACACACACACACACACACACACACACACACACACTCCTTATTGGTTCTGATTGGAGAACCCTAACACATACGCCCAGGCCTCCTCTACTTCTCTAATTTTCAAGAGCTCACATCCCAGTCCCAATAATGTATCTGCCAGATGAGCACTATTATGGCCTGGAACCCTAAAATGAGAGGACAAACAACACAGGGCTGCACCAGAAAGTCAGACATGATTTGTCAGCCTTTATTAACCAAGAGGAAAGCCAAGCCCCCAGAGTTTCCTTTTAAAAAACCCAACCTTGTTTATGGCAAACAATGATTTAATTATGTTCAATACTACAGAGCAAGAATTGATCACTTTCTAATCACTTATTCTTCTGAGATTAAAATACAAGTGTAAAACAGTTAAAATAAGATCGTCCCCAATGATTTAAAAACAATTCTAATTGAAAGACATTTCAAACACTATGTGTAGAACTCAGGACCAAAAAAAAAAAGACCTTAAAACATTTTACCTTTGAGGTAGCACAATAATGCTGAATTAGATTTCTTTTATTACAATGAGCTTAAGAAAACAATGAGGAATCTACCTTTTGCTCAAGGTGGACTAAATGGTTTTCTGTAAATCCCCCATGAGGTTAGTGACAGTTTTCTCTTTTTTTTTTTTTTTTTTTTTTAAGTATAAAGATAGCCCTGCAGTGTGAAAAAAGGAAACCCACAGGGGAAGGCTGCTTCCCATAAAATAGACATTAGAATCGTTGAGGAACGTCAGCAGTCAAGACAGGAGGAACAAGAGGTAATTGTAGTGAAAAACCAAAACAACTTGTATCTTGGCAAGAATAATTTACAAGTACATGTCATGAACAAAAATTCCAACATTAGCCAACTGAAAACAAAAGTTAAAAGATGACATTCAGGGGTCTTTTTCCTTTTTCTCTGTGCAAAAATGCTCTTTCACTTTTTTGAAACAAGAGAAGATTGTTTCTACACTGTGACAGGACATGAGTAATTTTGTGTGCCCAGGGTGCTGGTGGGCACCAGTGGAGCTTCTCATTGACTACCATTGTGAGCAGAGAATCTGGGCAATAAGAAGATGAACATGACCCCTCCTAGCTACAGAACCATTTCTCGCCACTGTGCTGCTGAATTCACTCATTAAACTGCTCAAAGAAAAGCTGCACTCTCACTTGAAAATCTGTAGCAATCATATATAAAGACTATCAACTAAGAGGATAGTGCACATGAACCCTTCCTTCAGAGAATACAGCCAAAAGAACAGAGTGGGTGCAATAAACTGGGGCCAGAAGGAAAAATAATACTGTAGGTTGGACCTCAAGGCTCTCAGGAATATACTTCACCATCCCAAACCAACAGCAAAGCCAGGAAAGAGGGCATGAAATTCTAACCCATGGAAGCAATATATGGAAGCAATATAAAGCAATTAACAAAGAGATCTCTTCCCAATATGCTCCTCCCCTTGAGGCTCACCCAAAAGTTCAGGGCTTGCCTGACATAATGTGGACACCAGAGCCCTCAGCTGAACTTGGTCTGCCACCTTTGGTTTCCCATGCTGCAAAGAGAACTGGAACACTGTCAGACCCCTGGCACCTTGGTAATGGTTGTATCCTATTTCACTCACACTGGTGCCTTTAAGGTCTTCCTCAAGCCAACCCCCCAAAGGGCCAGGTAGGCAGTGAGGGTCTGGACTCATGATCCATATGTCAATCTGTAGTTAGAGCAGGAGGACTTGAAATGATGGACTTTACTCTATAAAACAGCAGCCATCAGTGAGTTGGGGGTATCAAAGAGGCCTCTGTGAAGGGGAAGACTGAACTGGGATGTGCAAGGAGGCAGGCTGAAAAGGCCCATGCCTAGCAGCCTGGAGGAGTGACTCTGGCACTAAGCACACAGCCAGCCCTGACTAAAGCTGGCATGGGGGCACAAAGGGGCATCTGCTCAGTGTTTAAACAGCGTCCTCACATAGTTGGGGCCAGACCTTTATGTGCCTGCTACTTTTGCAGGAAATGGGTGATTCCTGTCTGCTAAAGTGCAAAATCTGCTTTCCTAACTTATTTGATAGTAAAGCAACACCCTGGAGAAGAACAACCTTGGAAAATCATGGGAAAAACCACATGGGCTTTCCCAGTGCTAGCTGCCTGTTTTGGGGTATCAGTTACAACCTTTCATGATTCTGAGAGCTACAATGCTGCTACCTAGGGCAGTGTGAACAGAGTCCTTCTGCTGTCACTTCACAGAACATGATAAAAAGTGAGAACTGACCAAGGTTGTGGTAGGTCACCCCTCTGGAAATCTCTCCACCAGATGGTCCATGGCAAAAGCAGAGAGCCTGGCGTATGTGGACAACGGAAGTGACGTATGGTCTCCATCATTATCTACAACAGGAATGACTCAAGCCCTAGAATGTGATCTCTCAGGGATCTATTGAGTTACATAAAATTAAAAAATAAATCATATTGGGAAAGGCCTCTTGATTTAATACAAACTTGGCTACAACATTCAAAATATCTCTATGCAGCCTTCACACTGTTTTTAGGATCTCTTGTAGCTTCTTGATTCTAAGTCATTCTGAAGAAAAAAAAAATCATTCTGAGATATATTTAGTTAATTGAGATAATTCATGAGCATTCTACCTGATAGAATTAAAAGGTTAAAAAAGTTTCAAAATATAAACTAAATCACTTTCCTCTGGGGTTAATAACTGGAATCCCAAATGGCCCGACACCTTAATTAGAAAGGTTTTTACAGTAATTCTATGAAATTGTGAATAATTTTTATTTTTAAAAACAAAGCGTTGATCTTCAGGATGAATGCCTGAGTCAGCTGACAAACTTGATATATGCGAATAGGTCCAATGGGAATTCCCTAAACACAGAAATAAATTTTTTTTAGTTGAAAAAAAATAGCTGCTTCTTCTTAGAGTTTAAAATTGATATTTCAGCAGCAAAGCCAGGTGACAACACCGGAGTATAAGGAAAGGGCTTTGTAGTAGTACAACCTCTTGCTGGCACACTGCCAATTAGCTGGTAGGGGCAACTGGGAACGAGATGGCAGGAGTCACCCAGGGAAGTATTTGGGTCAGATAAAGGGATGGCACATCCAGACGCTGGCTCCTCAGAAATGGACAGTAATTCACTCATGCAAACCGCACAGAGATTAAAGAAAACAAAACAAAACCTACTGAAACAGAACAAAACCCCCCAACCCAGAAAACCTTCCCTGGCTCTCTGCTACGTGAAGAATGTGCTGAACCCAAATTTTCTGCTCTAACACAGGTCTTCATGACCAGTCGGTGTGCCCTGGGGCGCTGACCTGCTGGGTCCTGGGCAGGGCCCTTTCCTAAGCAGCACTGTGAATTTGGAGACCGCTGTCATGGGTACAGCTGTCAGCAGACAGGACAATGCCACAGGACCACAGATCCCTGTCCCACAGTAGGCTGCCATCTTCTACTGTAAAACCAAAGGCTACAATTGTGAACAAATGTGTGGACTTTCTCAAAGGACAAACAAGAAGATCGAGGGCTATGACATTTCCTCCCTTGAGAAAGGTCAGGGGCGGGTGTCTACAGTTATACACAGGTTTGTGGAGACCTATGTTGACTTCCAACAGCAACAGTAGCAGCCAGAGAGGAAAGGAAGATGATTACACTTTGGACTTTGTATCAGGCACTTAGATTGTTGGAGAGACATGCCATTTTGAACCAAAGATGTGACAACTGGGTTGGAATAATCATTACGAGTGGTCTAATAATGGGCTTCCAGAAGCAAAGTGGAGGAGGTGTGGGTTGAACCTCTGCCCATCTTTTAGTGCTGACTTTCAAGTTTTCTAAATGCCCACAGCCATAGCAATGGCAGTGGAGGTGGCAACAGCAGGAACAGTTCTGTCGTGTCTGTCTTGTGTGTGTGTTCTGTGGCTGACCAGAAGGTTTTGGTGTCACACTGAGAAAGCTCTGCGGCGTGGCACACCTACTGCCCGGGATCGATCAAATCCATGCTGGAGCCAAACATCTTCACCAGCTGTTCCTCGTAGTGTGAGATGTTTCTCTTCATGATGTCCATGCAGGGTCCCAGAAGCCTCTCAAATGCTTGTACATCCATAACTGCATTGTTAAAAAGAGGTGCGAGAGAGAATGAATTCTCTACATCATTAATTCAAAGTTATTTCCCACATGCAAACCTTTTCTTAAATATACCCATTCACATTACAGGACTGTGGGATCCTGGGCACTTGGAAAAAGAAGGGATGTTTCTACGTCACATAGCCCGACTGTGTCATCTCAGTTTGCAACTTTGCAGAGCCCAGCAGCACCTTTTCTCTTGATCCCTACAGAGCCCTGGACACCTGCCTCCATTTCTGCTCTTGTGACAGGCTATATTGCTATATTGCTAAAGGATATATTCACCCATTTCTAGTTGGTCCCACAGGCTGTTCAAGCCTGGATGTGTGAGAGAACTGGTGGAGTCAAGGCTTGCTGCTGGGAAAAATACTGCAGGTTAGAAACAAAAGCATTTTTATTTTTCTTACCTAAGCATTTGACGTCTCCCACTGCATAAGCCGAAGCAGCTCTGGGTTTGTTGGTGACCAGTGCAAGCTCTCCAAAGTACTGCCCCTTATGGCAACGGGCAATCTCGACCTCTTGGTTCCCACCATCCTTGTTTGCTTTAGTCTAGAGTAGGTGGAAAAACATGGCCTAGACTGATTCCAGAATCACAGCTGGGCATGTCCAGTCAGACACACTTGCAGTCCCATCTCAGTACACTTAACACAATTACTGAGACATTCACTTTGCAGAGGCACTAACTGTACCATGTAAATTGTACGGGCTAACTAGTCTCTGGTTTAATTAGAAGAGTTGGCTTTTATTTCAGGCTTCATCCAACTCCTGATAACCTTTCAGGTAATGGCTAAATATCAAGAGGTAAAGAGCAGACCATTTTCTTTAGAAGATACATATATAATTATATATAATTATTATAAAATACATTATGTATTATATTAATATATACTATATTGTCATATAATAGCAATATGTTGTATATTAACATAAATACATATATTATATATTTTACATGTATGTATATGAATGCTCTCCTTTTGGTAGATGCTGACTTCTGAGGCACAGGGGAAAAGACAGGTCTTTTGCTAATTCCTTCTAAATGATATCAATGTTTCTCTTAGGTAAAGTCACAGTCCTGGGCTAATTCTTGATTTGAGATCATGCCTTTCTCAGACAATACAGTGACAAATTTTCTTTTTAGGTACTGTCTGCATCTTAAGTTAGTGGTTCCCGGGGCACCTGGGTGGCTCAGTCAGTTAAGTGTCCAACTTTTGATTTCGGGTCAGGACATGATCTCACGCTTCAGTTCCTGAGTTCATGCCCCAAGCTGAGCCTCACGTACAGCCTTGCATTGGGCTCAGCACTAACAAGCTTGCCTGGGATTCTCTCTCCTCTCTCTCTCTGCTCCTCCCCTGTACATGCATGCATATGTACTCTCTTTTTCTCAAAAATAAACTTAAAAATAGTTTAAAGACTTGGATGTAAATTTAGAAAATAAATTAAAAAAGAACAGTTTAAGTTAGTGGTTCCTCCCCCCCCATGACCACACACAATTTTTTAGAAGAGTAACTAAAAACAATTTTTTATAATGTTCAACCTGGAAATTTAGTGATTTAACTTTGTATTAAGAAATGAAGCAGGTTGTAATTTACGCTTATCAAATTACTAAAACTAAAGTACCATATTATATTTAATATCTAGAGGGTTTTTGTTTGTTTTTTTTATAAATCCATCTGTTAAGCTAAGCAATAATTTAACTGAAAAGATTATTTAGTAAGAATTAGTCTCAATCTCTAAGAGCTACTTTAAGTTCTGGGCAAATAATCCTCCTTGCACACTACTGCCCTATCTGTTTGCTCTGCAGTTGATCTGCTCCATTAGTACCAACACTCTCCTCCCAACTTCTGTAGCATTCTCTGGGACTGCAGACACGTTTGTGCCCACCTAGTCCCTTCTCCACAGTAGCATTTACCACAGAGGTCATGTGAACACCAGCCCCCTGAGGGATTTGTTACAGTGCAGATTCTCATTCAGTAGGTCTGGAGCAGAGTCTAAGACTGCATTCCTGACAAGCTCTGCCAACCCCCAGGGCCATGGTGCTGCTGGTTCCACAAACCCAACACTAGGCTGTGATCAGGAGGTGTCAATGAGTATTTGAGAAATGTGCAAACATATATCACTAGTCCAAAAACAGTAAGTAAAAGAACATAGATGTTTCAACCTATTGTTTCATGTGAAATAGCAGATCCATTTTTAATCAGGATTATTTACAGGCAGTAATCATATTTTTCCTTCTCCATATAACTTTTACTAAAGATATTCTATAAAAGATTTCATATTAGGTTAGTATTATATTTAACTATTTTAACAAATTCTATATTCTTTTAAAAAAATGTTTAATGTTTAAGAGAGAGAAAGAGTTGGGGCGCCTGGGTGGCTTAGTCGGTTGAGCGTCCGACTTTCGCTTAGGTCATGATCTTGCGGTTCGTGGGTTCGGGCCCCGCGTCGGGCTCTGTGCTGACTGCCAGCTCAGAGCCCGGAGCCTGTTTCAGTCTGTGACTCCCTCTCTCTCTCTGAACCTCCCCTGCTCACGCTGTCTCTCTCTCTCTCCTAGAAAGAAATAAAACATTTAAAAAAAAAATTAAAAAAAATAAAAAAAAAAAAGAGAGAGAAAGAGTATGAGCTGTGGAGGGGCAGAGAGAGAGAATCCCAAGCAGGCTTGGCACTGGGAGCCTGATGTATGGCTTGATCTCACAAACTGTGAGATCATGACCTGAGCCAAAATGAAGAGTTGAACACTTAACCAACTGAGCCACACAGGTGCCCCTGCAAATCCTATATTCTTTTTAAAATAATTTTTATGTTTTATTTATTTTTGAGAGAGAGACAGCACGAGCAGGAGAGGGACAGAAAGAGAGAGAGACACACAGAATCCGAAGACAGGCTCTAGGCTCTGAGCTAGCTATCAGCACAGAGCCCGATGTGGGGCTCCAACCCACAAACTGCGATATCATGACCTGAGCCGAAGCTGGATGCTTAACCGACTGAGCCACCCAGGCGCCTTGCAAATCCTATATTCTTAAAAAAAATCGGAACAGAGAAATCCATCCAATGATGATGGATTTATGATAAGGATTACTCCTCCCACCTATTGGTCATTAATTTTATAGGTCTCCCTATCCAGAAATGGTATAATAATAATGGTCTTACGGGCCTCCCCCTCCAGTGCTCTAGAAAGGAACCTTTTTTTCATATTCAACACCCACATGTATGCCTTTATCATGTATTCCCCCTCACTTTCCACTAGGGTGTTTATCTTTTTCTTATGGATTTGTAGCCATTATTTGTCATACATATAATTAATTATGTAACAGAGGCAAACGCAATAAGAACAAGGAGAAATATACTAAATCCCTATCACTGGAGGGACTTAAACATGGATCTTTGTCAGTCAGATGCCTCATATAACAATGACACTAGACACACTTTCCGTTTACAGCAAACAGCTACATTCTATGCACGCACCTGGCATAACTTGCACTGTCACACACAGACTCACCTTGCTTCTGATCAAGATGCTCACCTCGCCAGACTCTATAATGTAGAAGCTATCAGCCTTTTCACCCTGGAAAGGGAGAGGAGGTCATCAGAGCTATGTACTGGCACAGGACAAAGAAATAGATAATTTTCTCATTGGAGCTCAAGCTCCAATTTGTATTTCTTTTTCAACTTTACAAATTAATCAATGGCTAACAAATTCAGAACAAAACGAGAGGATCCTGGTCACCAGGGATTTTAGTACAACTATGACTCACTTCCTAACATGGAATATTCACATTTCTCTCCATGAATATGCCCAGGCTGCCAATGGCACACAGCATCACTACTGTTGCTGCTCCTGTTAGTTTGCTATTGAAACCTGTGCCTGGGGCCAGTTGCCAAGGCTCCCACAGACAATATCAAGGTGACTCCTGGCTAGCCCTGGGCATGGGGCTCAGGGATAATTCAGCCCTCTGGAGGACAGTGTAGATCTGGAGAAAACCCTGCCTTGGTGAGCGAGGTACTGTGATGTGGGTTGATGTCAACCTTATGAGCCTCAGGCTTTTCTTTCACTTGTTTGGATTTTAAACCTCTTGGCTAAACCAGTCATTCAGGTAATTCAATAAGTAATTAAGTACTTACTATGTACCAAGGCACTGTTCTAGGCATACCATGTGAGAGGTATCAGTGGGCAATACAAATATCCCTACCCTTGTGGAAATTACAGTCTAATACGGTTAACAAACTGTAAACAATCAACATAATGAATCAGCAAATTACACTGTTGTGTTGGAAGATAATTAAGTACTACAGGGAGGAAACAGAGCAGGCAGTGTGGGATCTGGAGTGCTAGGGAAGGAGATGGCTACAGAATACAGCAGAGTTTCATCCGAGGGTGAGATCTGAGCAAAGGCTGGAACGAGGGGAGAGTTAGGCAACCAGACACAGAGAAGAGATTTTCAGGCCCACTTCAGTATCTGACCTCTTCCTCTTAACGTTTGGGGCAATGACCATCTACACTGGATAATTCAATACTAATCCTGTGTTCTCATTCCATGTGGGTCTTATGTCTTCGGTAAGAATCTATACTTCTTCTGAATTTCCCTAAAACTTAAATGTCTTTCACCACTGCACAGATCTCCAAGTGGACAACTTATAGCTGAGGCTGCCATTCTTTTTTTTTTTTTTTAAATGTTTTTTTTTATTTATTTCTAGGAGAGAGAGAGACAGCATGAGCAGGGGAGGGTCAGAGAGAGAAGGAGTCACAGACTGAAACAGGCTCCAGGCTCTGAGCTGGCAGTCAGCACAGAGCCCGACGCGGGGCCCGAACCCACGAACCACGAGATCATGACCTAAGCGAAAGTCGGACGCTTAACCGACTAAGCCACCCAGGCGCCCCAAGGCTGCCATTCTTGAGTTAATCTAGTTCCAGCTCACTAGATAATAATCATCGCTTCATGTGAGTAAAAGCTACAGCTTTAAAAAGGGCTGTCTGTGCTGCTGTGTTGGGTAGGTACCCTGTACCAAGCAGAGCCAAATCAACATGAAGGTCTAGTGTTACACAAATAACTCCCTGAGAGTTGATGAAGGGAACTAAGGGAAAGCCAGACGCTGGGTCACCAGGAGGGAGGGTTGTTTCTAGCACCAAGAAGGGAGTTTCATAAATTAGGAAAATATGTTCAGTGCTATTGGAGGTCAAGATAAAGATTCAAATGTGTGCAAACATTCTGGTGACCAGGAAGAGGGTGGTGAGTGGTAGGGAGGAGCCACAAAAGTGACAGGTGGTATTTGAGCTCTTTTTGTTTAGGTAGATGTGTAACAGCTGTAATTTACAGTGCTCATTTTTCAAGGCTGTGGCCTGATGAATTTTTACACATGTATGTACCTGTGTGACCACCCTCTGGTTCAAAACAGAAAACTATTCTGGCTTCCAAAATAGTTCCTATCAAGTCAAAACTACCACCACTCCACCCATTAGGTGACTGTATCTGACTTCTCTCCTTGCAGTTTCCCTTAATTCCCGTTAAGGAAAGTAAGGCTGTTCCTGAACTTCATATAGATGGAATCCTACATGGCCTTTTGTGTCTGGCTTCCTCTGGTCCACACTGTGAGACCACACTTATAATATGCCTGGCTATGAAAGGAATGAGAAGCTAGTAGCTGGAGTGAAAACAGAGTGAGTAGAGGAACGTGAGTGTATTTTGAGGAAAGAGAGACTTGGGCATGTCTACAGTGTGTGAAGAATGAGCCTGATGAACAGGGGAGCTCAAATAAAGAGAATCTGCTAATGATGCTGCGCTCTGCTAACAGTGCGCACTCCCAGCAGGCACTCTGGTGAGTACCACATGTGCACGGCTTCATGTAATCGCCCAAGAAGTCAATAAAGTTCATACTATTACTACCTCTTTTTACCGATGAGTTTCCTCAGAAGCTCAGAAGATAAATAACTTTGTCATAGGAGCTACAGGAATAGCTGGTGGATTCAAGGTTGAGAGGAAATGGGAAGAAATATTATCTAGACCATGAGGAACAATGAGGCTTGCCTAGGTAAAAGTTGATCTCTTTCTCTGGACCAGAGGAAGGACCATCTCTGATCCTTTTTATTTATTTTTTAACATTTATTATTTTTGATAGACAGAAAGCAAGTAGGGGAGAGGCAAAGAGAGAGGGAGACATAGAATCTGAAGCAGGCTCCAGACTCTGCTGTCAGCACAGAGCCCAAAGCAGGGCTTGAACCCACCAACCATGAGAACATAACCTGAGCTGAAGTCGGATGCTTAACCAGTTGAGCCACCCAGGCACCTCTGATTCTAATTTTACTAATTTGCTAATACATGACCCAGAAAGATTATCATAGTTTACAATTTAAGAAGAAAAAATAAAAAATGAAATCATGAATGATGATATGATCAACTGAAAATGGTCTATTTTTGAGGCATCTGTAGGATACTATTTGTATTTCCAGCCTCACAAAACAGCTTGGTTAGGCTGAGACAGAGATGGGCCAGGGCATATATTTCCTGTCTCCTTTAGGTCTAGTGATGGATAGTGCATGTAAGTTGGGTGTTCAGACTTTGCAAGATGCCTTTCAGTTTGTAGGGGAGACAGAGCAGAATGAGATGAATACCCAGTAGCAAAAAACAGGAGCTCAATGGAAGAATGTCCCTGCTTTTCAAATTGTTAAGTCTGCTAATGCATCTGAGTATACATCTCACAGAAAAAACATTCCATTCTATATTCAGGAGTAAAGAAGCCAAACTGTATTTTACATTTTTAAAAAAGGTTATTAATTTAGAGAGAGAGAGAGAGGGAGCACAAGAGAGAGAGGGAGAGAGAGAATCCCAAACAGGCTCTACACTGTCAGCACAGAGGCCTGGGGGGCTCAAACTCATGAACTACAAGATCATGACTTGAGCCAAAGTTGGATGCTTAACTGACTGAGCCACCCAGGTGCCCCTATTTTACATTTTTATACTTTTTTATTAAAAAAATTTTTAATGTTCATTTATTTTTGAGAGAGAGGCAGGGTTTGAGCAGGGGAGGGACAGAGAGAGAGAAGGAGACACAGAATCCAAAGCAGGCTCCAGGCTCTGAGCTGTCTGCACAGAGCCCAACACAGGGCTCTAGCCCACAAATGCCAGATCATGACCTGAGCCAAAGTTGGACACTTAACTAACTGAGCCACCCAGGTGCCCCAATAAAATGGTACTTTAATGCTAAATACATGAAACATACTTTTTATAAAGTACAAACCAACTTCTGTCCATATTATTTAGAGAACAGGTGAAACATTCCATGAATTAGGATAAATGTGCAAATTATGAAAACATTACAAAGTATATAAGCATAGCATAAAAAAATAACCCAGAGATAAAAATGTGTGTTGATGAACTTGAAAGGATAAAATAAAAAAACTCTGAAGGGGGCAGCTGGCCAGGGGCCTCCCTGACAGCATGTGTGATCTAGAGAACACCCAGAGATAGGCGGAGATGCACACTAGCCTTCCACCACCCCTGCAACAAGCAGCGGCTTCTGTTCTTTCTGCTGTATCTGGGCCCTAGCTGGACACCCGCATTAGCAAGGCACTCGCCCTAAGGCATACCACCTGTGAAGAACAGCTGGGCTGTAGGAAGAAGTTAGTAGCATGTTGGTGCTGAAGAGTCACGGCAGTCTAAGCACAACTGTCCAAGGAGACTTAAGGCAGCAATCTCTACAGGCTGATGACATCACTGACCTTCGGGGACGTAGGAAAACTTCTAGTTTTAAAATGCCTATTACACCAGATACATGGGTGGCTCAGTTGGTTAAGTGTCCACCTCTTAGTTTCAGCTCAGGTCATGATCTTATCTCATGGTTTGTGGGTTAGAGCCCCACATCGGGCTCTGCACTGGCTATGAGGAGCCTGCCTGGGATTCTCTCTCTCTCCCTTTCTCGTTGCCCCTCCTGTGATCTCTCAAAATAAATAAACCTTAAAAAATAATAAAATGCCCATATTGGAAAAAGAAGAAAGGCTAGAAAGTGAGGAGCTAAGCAACCAATTCAAGAGAACTGGGGAAAAATGGCAAAACTGGGGCTCCTGGGTGGCTCAGTCAGTTAAGCGTCCGACTTCGGCTCAGGCCATGATCTCACAGTTTGTGGGTTCGAGCCCCACGTCGGGCTCTGTGCTGACAGCTAGCTCAGATCCTGGAGCCTGTTTCAGATTCTGTGTCTCCCTTTCTCTCTGACCCTCCCCTGCTCATGCTGTCTCTCTCTCTCTCTTTCTCTCAGAAATAAAATAAATAAATAAAAGTTTTTTTTAAAATAGCAAAGCAAAGTAGAAGAAAGGAAATGAGATAAAGACAGAATGTAATGAAACAGAAAACATTCAACAGGATTACTAAAAGGAAAAAGGTGGTTCTTAAAAAAACTGAAAAAATTAGTAAGCCCCTTGCAAGACTGAATAAGAAAAAAAAAAGAGAAGTCACCAAATGACAATATCAGGAATGAAGAACCCCTGTTGTAAGTGACTGACATCAAGCTTTTGATTATTGAGGCAACCATTTCAGACACCCACCTTGAATAAACATATTGCCAGCCACACTAGATAAAGAGCCAGGCTGCCTCCACCTATGAAGTCTCCCTTTTAAATGTTTATTTATTTTGAGAGAGAGAGTGCAGGAGAGGGGCAGAGAGGGAGAATCACAAGCAGACTCTGTGCTGTCAGCACAGAACCTAATGCAGGGCTTGAACTCACAAACTGTGAGATCATGGCCTGAGCTGAAATAAACAGTTGGACGCTTATCTGACTGAGCCACCCAGGCGCCCCATGAAGTTTTGCTTTAAGAAAGCCCTGGGAAATGCAGAAAACTGTTCACTTGAGTGACTCCACTTTTCTCTTCCCACAATCCTAATTCCTGCTCTTATGTTTTAAATTCGCCAATAGAAAGAATGAGCCCACCAAACTCTGGGCAGCCCACCCTCATCCCCAATAAAGACAGAATTTCACCCCCACCCCCATCCTGTGACCTCATTGTGTGGCCCTGGGTGTGCCATACACCCTCCAGGATCTGTGAGTAATCAACTTTGTTTTTTCAAAGTTCCTTCGTTGTTGTTGCTAAGCCCTGAAGTCATAATAAGAACCACAGGGCGGGTCCAGACACAACACTGGCTTTGGAGAAATGTTTGTGGGGACTTGTTAGAAGTAGTACAGGACCAGGTAAGTGCCCCGGGCATTCCTAGCTGACAGTATCACTATTGATAGCCTGAGACTGACATAAAACACTCACTATTGTTACAATGTCAATTTCTCCCCAAATTGGTCTACAGTTTGAACGTAATCCCCCCACCCCCCAAAAAAATCTCAGCAGGCTTTTTTGGTAGAAACTGTTAAGCTGGTTCTAAAATATATACAGAAATGCAAAGAGCATTAAGGAGCCAAAATAATTATGAAAAAGAACAAAAATTTTGGAGGACTTAAACTATCTGATTTTAAGACTTAGTATAAGAAGTTTTTATAACCAAGACAGTTACTGGCACAGAGACAGGCATACAGATCAATGAAACAGAGACCAGAAATACACTCCCAAAAATATGGCCAAATAATTTTCAGTACAAGTGTGAAGGCAAGGAGATAGGATTACAGATCTAAATGCAAGAGTTAAAACTAGGAGATATCTATAACTACCCTGTTCAAGTAGCATGTGGCTATAGAGCACCTGAAATATGGCTTCTATAGATTTAGAATTTTGAAGACTGAGTACAAAAAAAAAAGGATGTAAAGTATTTCATCATTAAATTTTTATATCACTTAGATGTTGAAATGGTATTATTTAAAGATAATAATTTAAATATGCCATATTATTAAAATTAAGTTCTCTTTAAAAAAAATTGGCTGCTAAAAATTTTTTTAACTAGATATGTGTCTCACACAATATTTATTGAATGGTGCTGGCCTAAAGGTAAACATTTTGAGAAAATTTTATTGACCCTGCAAAGATTTAAAAAAAATTTTTTTAAATGTTTATTCATTATTGACAGACAGAGAGACAGAGCATGAGCATGGGAGGGAGAGGGGGAAACACAGAATCTAAAGCAGGCTCCAGGCTCTGAGCTGTCAGCACAAAGCCTGATGTGGGGCTCAAACCCACAAAGTGCGAGATCATGACCTGAGCCAAAGGCGGAGCTTAACTGACTGAGCCACCCAGGTACCCCTCAAAGATTTTTTTTAAATACGGCACAAGAAGAATGAATTGCAAGAGAAAGAAATTACAAACTAGACTCTTCAAAATTAAAACCTTTTTACTTTTTAAAAACTACCATTAAGATACTGAAGAGACAAGCCACAACCACAGCTTGGGAAAAATATTTGCCAATCATTTGTCTGATAAATGATTTGTACTTAGAACACATAAAGAACTCTTACAACTCAATAATAAGACACCAAATTACCTAATTGTAAATAGAGGAAAAGAGTTACAAAAAGTTTGCCAATTTGCCAAACAAAATATATGGATGGCAAACAGTCACAGGAAAAGATGCTCAACATCACTAGACATTAGGCAAATGCAAATTAAAACCAAAATAAGATACCACTTCATGCCCACTAGAATGGCTAAAATTAAAAAGACTGTTTATACTAAATACTGATGAGGATGCAGAACAACTGGAATTCTGGTACAGTGCTGGGAGGATGCAAAGCGGTAGAGGTATTTCTAAAAACAGTTTGGCAGTTTGTTAAACATGCGTTTACCATATGGCTCAGTAATTCCATAAAAACATATATCCACACAAAGACTTGTATACGAACATTCACTGCAGCTCTATTCATAATTGCCCCAAACTGGAAAGACCTCAAATGTCCCTCAACTGGTGAATGGAAAGACATATTATGGTAGATCTCTACAGTGAAATACTACTCACCAATAAAAATAAACTATCTGCTGACACATACAATATTATGCTAAGAGAAAGGAGTCAAGACACAAAAGACTACATGTTATGATTTCATTTACATGAAAAGGAATTTCTATAGTGTTAAAAGGCAAGTCAGTAGCATCTAGGAAGAAGGAGGTAGAGCAGGGGATTGACTATAAATACAAGTGAGGAAACTTCTTGGTCTGATGGAAATGCCCTGTACTATGATTATAAGGATGGCTACAAAACTCCAGAATTGTACACTTAAATTTGGTGATTTTATTGTATGTAAAATATACTGTGACAAAGCTGACCAAGACAAAGAGAACATAAAGCACAGTTTCTGATTCAGTAGGTCTGGGGTGGGACCCAAGAACTTGCATTTCTAACCATTCTTATCAAGCTCCCAGATGACACTGACGCTGCTGTTCCTGGGACCTCACCTGGAAACCCCTGGTCTAGAGACACTGCCGAAAAGGGTCTGTGATAAGCTGAGGTCATCTTAATTTGTGCCCATTCTGCACCACCACCTAGCACTTCTATCTTCAGGAGCACAGACACTCCAGAAAACTCTGTACTTCTAATACCTCTTGACATACCTTCTAAAAATCTCCTGATGTACCTCCTGAAGGCCTAGGGCTTTGGAGGTATATTAGAGCATCTCAGGTTCAGAAGCAAATGTGACCAGTCAACATGTCCCATTCCTGCAACTCAGCCCTACATTCTTACCGTATCAGGACACCTGTCTGGAACACAGCTCACACCCGCAGGCCTTGCTCATATTGTTCTCTTGCCCTGAAAGACCTTTCCCTGACCTCAGCTGCTGAAGCTACACTTATTCTTTAAGCTCAGCCCAAAACACATTTCGCCCACAAAACATTACAGAATACTTCCTTTTCTACATTCTTACTGTCATTCACATGTTCCTTCATTATAGTGCTTATATCTGGTCCTACTTGTACACTGTAATAAATGTCTAGAGAATCAAACCAATTTTTAACTGAAGGAATTATTAACAGTAGGAGTACCTAGAAAACAAAGGCATTTCAAAAGGCCACTTAGTTTTTTTGTTTGTCCTTTTTCTCCAGGAGTTTCTCTCTTTCCTTCCGTGATTAATAAACCTGATTAGTCCCTGTAGCACTGGTTGGGCCAACTCCACCCACTGGTCCCAGGAGTGGGCTCAGGACTTGGGCTTTACCAATCTGTGTCTTTCTTCCTCCTAGCCCCAGCTCCTAGCTCCCATCCTAATGATGGGAACATTACCCAACCCAGACCAGCCAGATATCTTCCCAGTGCTCTTACCAAACCACAGGCAGAAGTTTACACCTGGAAAAGTCTTTACATATAATCAAAAACACAATCATAGTAGACAAGGAAAATTATTACACAATACTCATGACAACAATCCAGGTCACTGTGTAGTGATACTCACAGCACCCAAAAGTCACAAGAGAGAAAGGCACAAAGGAAACATTAAAAACAACTTACAAATCTGATCAATCCCTGAGGACTGAAGACTGGCTTCTGTTGGATTAGCTAAGAGGGCACCTTTGTGCCAAACACAGAAGGTAAAGGGGACAAACCTTCGACCTCCAGGCTTTAATACCAATGGATGAAGGTTACTCAGGTCAAAAGAGAATTATGTCCAAAAGAACAAACACTAGAAGCCAAAGAGAGGTGGATGGAGGGAAGAGATGTGCATGTGTCTGTGAGAGGAACATCAGTGGGCTTCGGAGGACTCTGCAGGAAGTATGCCCTAGGAGCTGGCAACATGGGCTCCCAAAGTGACAGGACAAGGGCTGCACTAGTCCTTCAGGAAGGTTGACCTTCTCAGGAAAGGAGCTGCACAGGGCCCCACTCACCTGTGTAATTATGCGCTCTCCATCCTTATAGACCTTCTCTCCTATTACATCCACAATCTTCATTCGTTCTGACACCTGAAACAATGGACATGCCCACAAACTCTAAGGAAAAGACCTCAAATTATATCTATACAACACAGAAATGGGTTAGAATAGTACAATTTGAAAGCTTAATAGATTAGTTTTAAATCTTCAATCTCCAAAACCAGACTTTTATTCAAATATACTTCACCTCTAGCGATTTAAGGAGGGGCACAGATTCAATAAATGATTCAAACATCCTTCTCTTTTTTGCATTGTTTTTCACTATGATTCTTCTAAAAGTCACACGGTCCTACAAGAAAGAACATGAAAATTCCAGTAAACACCTCTAAAAGAGAACATCTATGGTTTAATTAACTGGGTGACAGTAAATATTAGAGGACCATGGAATGTACTGGGCTGAGTGTCTAATGATATTTTAATCTGAGTCATCACTGGAAGAAAATGACTTGTAGTTTGTTGTGTCTGACAGATTCCCACACATAATTGCTTGCTATCTAGTATTCAATGAGTGCCACCTATGGGTCATAAGTAGAATACACAATACAAAACTCCCAATAGAACACTTGTAAGCTCACAGTCACTGTTGAATGTGAAAACATGCGCACCTTCAAAAAAAAAAAAAGGAGATAAATCCGAGGGCTCTTGCCCTGAAGGACTTTACAATCTCAGTAGGGAAACAATACAAAATATATGAGAATAAAAAAGCTACAGTTCAAGACAGCATGTGAAATGTGCTAGGTGAACTATAAAGACAAGAGTTAGTGCTACAAGAACCCTCAGGAGGGAAAGATCACAGGCTGGAGTGATCAAAGATATTCTTGTTGCAAAAATATAAATTTTGGGGGGACTTAGAGGAAGGAGAGGATTTAAATTAATGGAGAAAGAGGGGAGGCAGGAATGTGAAAGGTCACTAGACCCCTGCAAGTCACGGATTCAGATCAGGAGACAGCTAACCAGGGCTACAGCCAGACCCCTCTCAGATACGTGTATATGTGTGTAGGCCACACAGACAGGAGAAGGTTAATTGCTTAGTTTTGGTTTGTTAATTTTACCTTTTGTCCACCTCAGGCTGTCAGGAGTGGAAAATTTTTTTTTTTTCCCCTTTGAGAGTATATAATGAAATCCTAAAGGGCTGGCAGAATGAAACACAGCAAGGGGGTAAGGACATGTTTAACTATAAGTTTTCTATTTTAGTATTCTCTATGATAAGGTGGTAGTGGGGTGGAGAAACCACACAGAAGACAACGGAGTTGGGATCACCCAGGAGCCTTTTAAAAATACAGATGCCCAGGTCCACCCAGATGTGCTGCTTTTTGATTCCCCTCTCCCTCTGCAGGGCCCTCACAGGAATGCACAGCTTTGCTGCTAAAGACATTGTCTGTGAGTATCAGGCCAGTCACTGTCAAACTGGCTTGGATTAGAGGGAATATACTGGTGCACAGAACTAATTAAAAAGTCCTGCATCTCTTGCTGCCTGTCTGCTTTCCTCCTCATGGGCCCATTGTGCAGAAAGTACTGACTACACAGCCCCCAGGAGCTCCAGACCACACCCCCCAACTCCTAGGCAGGAGGAATGCAGGAATTTCTCTTCCCTAGGGGTTTCGATCAGATTTTGGCCTGACTCTCCTTGGCTCACATGGGGGCCCCTGCCCTGGCTGAACTAATCACATGGCTGGGCAGTTTGCACTCTGCCTGTGCAGGCTGGACTCATGTGTCCCCTGGGCTGATGTGGAGTGGGGAGGAGATGTAGGGCTCCCCTGGAAAGATTTTGAGTGGCCAAACACAGGGTGGCCACAACAGACCCTGGGGTTTCTGATGCATAGCTAGATTGAAGTAAACCAACCAGAGCCATGTTGGGGATCATGCAAAGTCACACCCATGACACCCCCTCCTTTACATCCCCCCTCCAAGTGTTAGAGGCATGCAGTTTGCTGAGAGTTGAAAATCTGTTCAATCTAGTGCCCACGCCCTGCAAACCTCTGACCCCAGCCCCATGGCTTCCCTGGCTGGGACCGCCATATCATAAAATGGAAATAGTATGCACCTCTGAGGACACAGACAGGCCCATCCTCCTAGTATAAGCTATGGTGGACTGCATCTAAACTGCTGTATAAATCATGCCTGCTCTCCAGCATATAGCCAGATTCTGCTCCATTTCTTCTCCACCTGTCTGCTTGAAAAGAGCTATTCAATCTCTGATTTTTTTTTTAAAATGTTTTATTTATTTCTAGGAGAGAGAGAGACAGCATGAGCAGGGGAGGGTCAGAGAGAGAGGGAGTCACAGACCAAAACAGGCTTCAGGCTCTGAGCTGGCAGCCAGCACAGAGCCCGACGTGGGGCTCGAAGCCACGAACCGCGAGATCATGACCTAAGCGAAAGTCGGACGCTTAACCGACTAAGCCACCTAGGTGCCCCAATCTCTGATTGTTCTAATGGGCTGCATCATTTGCCACTACTTTATAAAGTCCAAGGTTAGGGATGTATCATTTAAAATGTTACTGTTATACTGTGGAATGTTACTCTATTCTCTTTAGACTTCAGTTTCTGCATGTTTTCTGGGCCAATCTAGGCTCGAGTGCTATGGAAAGAGGACAAGCAAACAGAGGTGAGAAAATGGAAATTAAAAAATTATCTTCCTTCTCTTTGAGTGAGCATTGTCCAAAAAAACCTCCCCAGTATTAAAAAAAAAATCCATCTATAAAGTCACAAAGATCGCTACAATTGCAACAGCAAACTCTTTCTAGCTGAAAACAACTGATAGCTCTCACAGTGACTTATTTGTGTTCCAATCCTTCCTATGCATACTTCCACCCTTCTGCTGTGCAAGACCAGCTCTTATAGCTGTGGAGGGCATGAAAAACACCAGACACCAAGCCAGCTTTCTGGGAACTTCCAATGGAGCTGTGAAGAGTTACTCAAACTGTGAAATAGTGGCTCCTGCAGGAAGCTAGTGTTCAGAATCCAGCAAAGAGCCTGAAGTCCAAAAGAGAGAAGGAATTTTGCCCTCTCTTGTGACTGCAAGTGCTCCCTAGGATGGTTTCTATCGACTTTTCACTCTAGCAAGATAAAGTGGGAGCAGGGACTAAGTGTAGTGGTCATGCTGGCAGCTGTCCCAAGTAAGAGAAAGAATGTAGAATCCAATTTGAGAAACTCAAATGACAACACTTCCCTGCTTTGGCCTCAGAAGGCATTTCCAAGGCCTTACAAGTTACAAGTAAGAAGTCAGGCTATAGAGGACCCTATGGGAGTCACTTTCCTGGAGGTGATACTAAAGCTTTTGAGAGTGTTTGGGTTATTTTTTTTTTTAATATTTTTATTTATTTCTAGTAGAGAGAGAGCGTGAGCAGGGAGTGTCAGAGAGAGAGGGAGATACAGACTCTGAAATAGGCTCCAGGCTCTGAGCTGGCAGTCAGCACAGAGACCGACGCGGGGCTCGAACCCACGAACCGCGAGATCATGACGTAAGCGAAAGTCGGACGTTTAACCGACTAAGTCACCCAGGCGCCCCTGTATGGAGATTTTCTTGTTATCTGTTATTGATTCCTGGATTTCTTCCATTGTGGTTAGAGAATACACTGACTTCAACCTTTAAATTTGTTAAATTTTATTTTATATGCCAGGATATGGTCTGTCTTGGTGGATATTCCATAGGCTTGAAAAGAATGTGTACTCTGCTGCTGTTGTATGGAGAGTTCTATAAATTAGATCAATTAGATCTTTTTGGTTGATGATGTCGTTAACCTCTTCTACATCCTTCCTGATTTTCTGTCTAGTTGTTCCACCACCTTTGGACAGAAGAGTGTTGAAGTCTGCAACTATGATTGTGGATTTATCTATTTCTTCTTTCAACTCTTGCTTCAGTTTTTGCTTCTTGTATTTTGAAGCTCTGTTGTTTGCTGTATACATAGTTAGGACTGCTATGTCTTCTTGGCAGATTAACCCTTTCATTATTATGCAATGTTTATGTAATCTTTGTGCCTAGTAATTTTCTTTGCTGTGAAGTCTATTTCATCTGGTATTAATTACTCCTGCTTTCTTCTGGTTAATGTTTGCATGGTATATATATGTGTGTGTGTGTGTGTGTGTATTTCTATCCTTTTACTTTCAACATACATAGATCATTATATTTGAGTTTTGCGCAGACTTGTCTCTGTCATTTAACTGGTATAATTAGATCATTATTTTTACAGTAATTATTCATATATTAGGGCTTAATTCTGCCACTTTACTATATGCTTTCTGCTGTTCCTGTTTTTTGTTTTTTGTTTTTTTTGGTTCCTCTGTATCATTTTCCTGTATTCTTGTGAGTTACCTGAACACTTTTTTAGAATTTTGATTCATAGAGCTCTTGAGCACATCTTTGTACATAGCATTTTAGCAGTTGCTCTAGGCATTATATTTATATATGTAACTTATTACAGTTTACTGATGTCAACATTTTAGTAGTTTGAGTAAAGTGTAAAAGCTTTACTTCCATTTGGGTCCCTTTACCCTCCCCTCCCCTTTCAAGTATAACTGTCTTAAATATTTCCTCTATGTACCTTGAGAACCACATCAGACAATAATTTTGCTTTAAGCATCTAACATAATTTAGAAAAGTCAAGAAGAGGACAGATTTTTATATCTCCCCACAGTCTACTTCTTCTGTTGTTCTTTCTCCATTCTTCATGTTCCAAACTTCCTTCTTGTATCACTTCCTTTCTCTATGAAGAACTTCCTTTAGACTTTTGTTTTTAAGTTTGTTTATTTTGAGAGAGACAACAATCACAAGCAGAGGAGGGGCAGAGAGAGGGAGAGAGAGAGAATCCCAAGCAGGCTCTGCACTGTCAGCACAGAGCCCAACACGGGTTGAAATCATGAACTGTGAGATCATCACTTGAGCAGAAACCAAGAGTCAGATGCTTAACCAACTGAGCCACCCAGGTGCCCCACCTTTAGCCATTTTTTTAAGGTAGGCTTGCTGGTGACAGAGTCTCTTAGTTTCCTTCCACCCAAGGATATCTTCATTCCTGAAGAATATTCTCACTAGGTACAGCATTCTGAGCTGAAAGCAGCATTCTTTCCTTTCAGCTGTTGAAAAGTGCTGTGCTACTCCCTTCTGGCCTCCAGGGCTAGGAAATCTGGTGTTGTTTCCTTACAGTTAATTTTTTCTCTCTTTCAAAATGCTTTCTATCTAGGGGTGCCTGGGTGGCTCAGTTGATTGAGCATCTGACTTTGGCTTGGGTCATCATGGTTCGTGAGTTCAAGTCCCTCATTAGGCTTTCTGATGTAGCACAGAGCCCATTTTGGATCTTCTGCCTCCCTCTCTCTCTACCCCTCCCAATTTCTCTCTCTTTCTCAAAAATAAATAAACATTTAAAAAATTAAAAAAAAAATTTGTCTAGTTTTCTGAAGTTTGTTTAAGCTGTTTCTTGGCATAAATTTATTTGGGTTTATACAATTGGAATTCATTCATTTTCTTGAATTTGCAGGTTTATTATCATTCACCAAATTTGGGAAGTTTTAAATTATTATTTCTTTGAATAATTTTTTAGTTCCATACTCTTTCTCCTCTCCTTAGGGAAATCTACTAATACAAATATTGTATCTTTTGTTACTATCCCATATACTCTGTTCACTTCATTTCAGTCTATTTTCTTTCTGTTGTCCACACTGGGTGATTTCTATTGTTCTATCTTCAAGTTCATGGATTCTTTCCTCTCCCATATTCATTCTGTTATTGAGCCTATCCAGTGAGTTTTTATTTTGGTTAATGTATTTTCCAGTCTGAAAATTTCCCTTTTGGATTTTCTATCTTCCATTTCTCCACCAACACCTTCTATTTTTTTTTTTAAGTTTATTTATTTACTTTGAAAGAGAGAGAGAGGGAGAGAAGGAGAGAAAGAAAGAATCCCAAGCAGTCTCTGAGCTGTCAGTGTAGATGCAGGGCTCAAACCCACCAACCACGAGATCATGATGTGAGCAGAAACCAAGAGTTGGATGCTTATGAAAATGAGCCACGCAGGCACCCCGACACCTTTTTTTTTTTTCTATTTTTTTTCAAGTGTGTTCATAATTACTTATTGATGGCTTATGTAATTGGTTGTATGACAATTGCTTTAAAATTCTCGTCAGCTGATTCCAATACCTTTGCCATTCGGTGCTGGCATCTGTTGTCTTTTCTCATTTAGGCTGAGAATTTCCTTGTTCTTCCTTGTTCTTTGTATAACAAGTGATTTTGTATTATCTCCTGGTCATTTGGTGTACCACGTAGTGAAACTATGTATTTGATTTAATCTTATTTTGCAGCACTGTTTAGGTACAGTGTGCATGTACATGTGGGAGTGAATGTTCAGCTACCCTCTAGATCCCACTGATACAACCCTGGCAGGGAAAGTGGAGTGTCAACAAGTAGGACAACTTATCACCTCATTTTGCCTTTCTGCTGCTGGGTAATGCTGCAAGTTCAGCTTGCTGCTGGCCCCAGTGACACCATGGGGAGGTAGAAGCAGTTTTTCCAAATACCAGTTTTTGGTATTTGGCTGGAGCAGGGTGGTATTGTCTGTTCTGCTAGGCTGCTCTTTTCCTGCTCCTTTAGCTAAAGGAACCAGGCTTTTCTTGGCGTTGTTTTTGTATGTACTTGATGGTGGATCTAGGTTGAAGGTTTTTCCACAACACCACCTGGGATATATATGGGAAGCAATAAAGAAAATCCAAGGAACTCACTCTCTTGTTCTTAAATCCCAAGATCTCTAGCCATTTTACCTTCTCCTTTCCATCTTCCAGGGTCTTTCTAAGTTTGTTACATGACTGGACTTTTTTAGTTTTAAGAGAGAAGACTAGTGAGGAATGGGGCTATTCCACCTTGGCCTGGTCCAGTATGTGGCTTGGACATCAGTGCATTTTAAAACTCAGTTTATTTTCTCCCATTACTATTGATCTATGATCTATCCTTGAGTTTTTCAATCACTAGGCCCCCAACTATGTGATCTCTTCCGAAACCATTGTATCTTTCATCTCTCAGAACATTTTTTTTTAAACATTATTCACCTTTGAGAGACAGAAAGACAGAGCATGAGAAGGGGAGAGGCAAAGAGACAAGGAGACACAGAATCCAAAGCAGGCTCTGACATGGGGCTTGAACCCATAAATCATATGATCATGACCTGAGCCAAAGTCAGACACCCAACTGACCCAGCCAACCAGGCGCCCCCCTCAGAACATTCTTAGTTCTATATCAGTATATCAGAGGAAGGTACTCTATTATATCTTTAATAGGTAATTTCATTTGAGTAACTATGTTGATATTCCTATGGTAGACATTTAATTCTGCTTATAAAGTAAACATAAACAAATTATCACAGATGTCAATATCTTAAAAGTGAAATTTAAAATTTGGAATTTGTACAAGATGATAATTATTATGTTTAAGAAGGAAGTGAGTTAAGAGGTACCTGGGTGGCTCAGTTGGTTGAGCACCCAACTCTTGATTTTGGCTCAGGTCATGATCTCACGGTTTATGAGATGGAGCCCCACTGTCAGTGCAGAGCCTGCTTGGGATTCTCTTTTTCCCCCACCTCTCTGCCCCTCTCCCACTTGCTTGTGCATGTTCTCTCTCTCTCAAAATAAATAAAGAAACATTAAAAAAAGAGAAGGAGGTGAGTTACAGGTTTTGAAGGCTTGATGCTGAGGGAAGCAAGGTGGACTATGGATAACACAGGATAGGGATCACAGGAGTGCTGTGCCATAGACATTCTAAGAAAATTCTCTTTCCCAGAATATGGCAGTCAGCGTTTCTAGTTATCTAAACCTATCGGATATAGCATGGACCAATGCACAAGTGGGTGGCGGGCCATAGAGAAAAGTGACGCCTGGAGATGGAAAGCACTGTTGGCAGAGCTTTCCATGAAACTTTTTTTCTAGGCTGCCTCTTGTATAGAGAGTTATCCCCTCCCCTCGCTGCTCTCTTCCTAATTAAAACATAAAGTGTAATAAGAACTGACATGACTTCAAGGTCATAAGACCATCTTTTCCCTGTAATTTGGAGTAATTGTTTTGTTGACAAATCACTTTAGAGAAATGTAAAAACACACTGGTACAAGATCTTTCATAATGTCTTTTAGAGAACTGGCTATAAAACATAGTGTGAACCAACAGCCCAAGGAGAGAAAGCTAGAAGTAAGGGGAATTAATACTGTGCCATGCAAGGGGAATCATTTCTCTAACTCACCAGTCCCCAAAGGGAGCCTTCAGAAGTGGCGACAATGGTAGCAGCTCTTGGGGTGTTGTACATAAGAGCAAGTTCTCCAAAACTGCCACGGTTGTCATACTGACCGACTGAGCGAGTTTGATTATCTTTTGTTACTAAAATATCATAGGTTCCCCTAGAAGCATAAAAAGAAATAATTTCATTTACTACTTCTAATAATAAATTTAAGAATCTGGCAGGTGGTACAGAACAGAAGGTACATACGATATAAAACAAGTGATTTCCAAAAGATTTTTGCTGGTGTACAGAATACAAACGATTTTTGCATTTTGACTTTGTATTCTGTGACCTTGCTAAACTCAGTTATCAGTTCTAGTAGATTTTCTGTAGCGTGGGATTTTCTAGGGAGGATCATGTTATCAGCAAAGACAGCTTTACTTTTTCTTTTCCAATCTATATGTCCTCCCTTCCTCCCTCTTTTTCTTCTTTTTTCATCGCCTTATTGCTTTGGCTGGGACCTACAGTACAATACTAAATAGAAGTGATAAGAACAGATATCCCTGTCTTAAGGGGAAAACAATCAATCTTTCACTGTTAACAATGTTGTTGGCTATAGGTTTTAAAATAAATTCCTTAAATCTGATTGGTGAAAAACCACATTTATTCTTAGTTTGCTGAGAGATTTTATCATGAAAACATGTTGAATTTTGTCAAATGCTTTTCCTGAAGGGATCACAATGATCATATGGGATTTCTTTTGTAGTGTGTTGAAAACTAGGATATAGAATTGATTAAAATAAAGAAGCCAAAAGATACAATTTTCTCTCTATTGACTGGTAATGACTGCTAAAGAATAATATTCAGAACTGACAAACGTTTAGAGAAACAGGTGCTGTCAATACATCACTGAGGCAAACTTAAATGTATCAATGTTTCTGTAAGATAACTAACAACATATAACAAATTCCTTAAAGAGACCCTTTTATCTGGTGATACCATTTCTAGGTATTCTATAGAAGATAATCTGGAGAGGGTGGTTCCTTTCAGGTCTGAGAGGGGGTCAGAAGGAACTGCCGAGATGAGAGCAACAGCTCAAGAGCTTATGACACGCTAAGACCAGCAGGTCAAATCCCATATATTTCATGTCTCCCAATATGCCTTACACGTGAATCAGAGCCAGAAGGGGCCAGGGACATGGAGATTGAGGCAGTGTATTCGTGTGTAAAATTAGGCTGGGATGGAAAGATCCAGGTGATAATACAGCAAAATGGCTTCTTTATGAAATCAATTCACTTGAATACTGGCAAAAAACATGTTTATAGAGCACATCTTGCCTAATTGTAAGGAAAACTTTAATACCCTCTAGTTCTATCCACATAGTTGCAAATGGCAAGATTTCATTCTTTTTGATTGCTGAATAATACTCCATTGTGTGTGCGTGTTTGTGTGTACAGATACATACACACACACAGATACATACACACACACACACCCCTTTATCCATTCATCCATCAATGGACATTTGGGCTCTTTCCATACTTTGGCTATTGCTGATAGTGCTGCTATAAACATTGAGTGCATGTGTCCCTTTGAAACAGCATACTTGTATCCCTTGGATAAATACCCAGTAGTGCACTTGCTGGGCTATAGGGTAGTAAAGGAGACTTTTTAATGTTGATAATGGCAATCTAAATATGGGTTGTACTGAGGACTCAGGACAGCAGGAGATAGAGGGGGCAGGCTGTGGAAAGAGAGGGAGAAACTTTGAGAAGCTTGTAAACCTGGTCCTAACTCCTCTCTGAGCTGAACAAAAAAGCATAGGGTAAAGCACTTTTCCTGAATCATCAATCTTACTAACTGTAGCCACACAATTGCAAAGCTCCATCTCCTACCGTTCTATGACATAAAAGTTGTCTCCGTCATCTCCTTGGTCAATGACATGCTCATCAACCTTGACTGTCCTTTCAAACATGGCATCAAGGACTTGAGAAAGTTGTTCCTGCAGGGCATACACACAAAGAGAAAATATGGTTTTTACATTTACTAGGGAAAAAAATGACTATGCTCATATCAGTTTGTGACTACACCGAGTCACAAATATGGAAGTACACATATCAGACTGCTGTCATATTCAACCAAAAACATAAAAGCTGCCTGAAACAAATGTTTTCCTGTGACCATTCAGCTGTATATCTCCACGAACACAGCACAGTTGCCAAGTTTTCTGAGGCAGTACTGCTTTGAAAAAACATCCCATAATTTATGCAAAAATAGGCCTATAAATCATGGTGCCCACTTCCCAACCATGCCAACATGACTGTCAGGTGCCTTGATGGCTCTACTATGTCATCTGTAAAGCCATGTGATGCCATCTTCCTGTAGGTGTTGATCTTAACAGGATCTTCAAATCTAAGGGGCCGGATGGACTTAGAAATTAGCTCACAGAGTAGCACAACTGTTCTGACTAGCCATACACATCACTTAACCTCTCCAAGCCTTAGTTAATCCATATTTTTAACACGGGTTTAATAGTTTCTAGCTTATTATTTTTTTTCTTTCCAGAAAAGAAACCTAAAGAAAATATTTATCACACAACAGATACTCAAAAATTGCCATCTGTTCTTAGACAGCTATTATTGCTTCAGTCATTTATATACAATTGCTTACTTACCAATATTACCTGTTATAACCACAAGGTACCTGTACTGATAAGTATAATGAAAACAAAACACTGCTATTAAATTCTAACAAAACAGTGGTCTCAGTCCAGGGCAAATGTCCCTTTGGGAGATCAGTGACTATTAGTGGGCAGTAAAGAAAGTCAGTTTCAGCTCAGAGACTTTATCTTTGGAGGAATGTAGACTGAAGACCTGACAAGGAAAAATTTTATTGCTGCAGAATTCCATGTGATTTAGTATTCTGTCAGTGTGACTGTGCTGCCTAAAATAACTGAGTATCACTAAAAGCATCTCTTTAGTTCCACAGTCCCATGTGTGTTGAATACTGTAGAAGCTGACAAATACTAAAAAGGAAGTGCTATTCCTGTGCATTCCACATTCACATGGAATGTGAGCTCAGTGTTGCCAGAAATCTCATGTTTAAATACAGGTAACAATTTAAATTTTCATGTACAATACAGCCCGAACACACACATCTGTACTTAGCTGTAACTGTCCTGTGGGCTGTCCACTGGCAGGCTCTCATTTTGAGTAACTCTTCTGGCCTGGACTCTTCAAAAACATCAGTGTCATGAGATATAGAATAAGGTGTAAGGGGAGAATTCTATGTCAGAGACAACTAAAATGACACCATACCAACCAAAAGCAACATGTGACTCAGGATTGAAAAACAAAACAAAAAAGCTACAGAGAACTTTACTGGGAAAATCGGAATACGGACTGGATGTTAGATAACATTACTGAAACAATGGTAATAATGTTACTTTGCCAATAACATAGGAAAATATCCTTGTTCGTAGAAAATACATCTTAAGGGGGCACATGGGTGGCTCAGTCGGTTAAGCATCTGACTTCAGCTCAGGCCATGATCTCATGGTTCATGAGTTCGAGCCCTGCATCAGACTTTGTGCTGATAGCTCAGAGGCTGGAGCCTGCTTCAGATTCTGTGTCTCCCCCTCTCTCTGGCCCTCCCCTGCTCATGCTGTTTCTCTCTCTCAAAAATAAACAAAAACATTAAAAAAAAATACATCTTAAGGTATTTAGTGGCTAAGAGTCAAAATGTCTTAAACGTATTCATAAATAGCACAGAACAAAAAAAAGCAGTTCATATGTACTTACATGCATGTACATACACACATGAAAGCAAGGAAATGTGGCAAAATGTTAACAACTGGGGAAGGGTACATGAGTGTTCATGGTGCTATTCTTTTGACTTTTCTGTAAATTTGAAAATTTGAAACTAGAAATTTGGGGAATAAATTTTTTTAAAATGTTTATTTATTTTGGGGACAGAGAGAGAGAAAGAGACAGAGGGAGAGAATGAGCTGGCAAGGGGCAGAGAGAGAGGGAGAAAAGAATCTCAGGCATATTCTGTGCTGTCAGTGCAGAACCCAACATGGGGCTTGAGTCCACAAACTGTGAGAGCATGACCTGAGCCAAAATCAAGAGTCAGATGCTTAACTGACTGAGCCACCCAAGGCCCCAGGAAATAAATTTTTAAAACCTGAAATAAGTGTACTTGGGTGGCTCAGTCAGTTAAGTGTTCAACTCTTGATTTCAGCTCAGGTCATGATCTCATGTTGCTGACAGCATAGAGCCTGCTTGGGATTCTCTCTGCCCCTATCACTCTCTCAAAATAAATAAATAAACTTAAAAAAAACTGAAACAAATATGCTTACCATAATGGCTAAAATTTCTAAAGACAGATAATAACAAATGTTGGTTAAGAATATGGAGAAACTGGGAATCTTATCTATTGCTGAAGGAATGCAAAATGGTACAACTACTTTGAAAAAGTTATGGCAGATTTTTATAAAATCAAACACATACCTATCCTATGACTCAGCAATTTTGTCCTTGGGTATTTTACTGAAGAGAAACAGGGGAAAAAAAAGTTCCCAAAAAGACTTGTACTAAATGTCCACAGCATTATTCATAAGAGCTAATAACAAGAAATAAACCAGGTATCCATTAACAGAAAAATGGAGAAGCAAACTAGGATTTTCATATGACCGAATACTACTCAGCAACAAAAAAAGGAATAAACTAACATCACCAGTAATAAGACATACGGATATCACTGACCCCTTGATATGATGTTCGGAGAAGGACACAAAATAGTTTCTGTCGCAGTCTGGGTAAGAATGTATGTACCTATTCTAGTCACGAAGAAATATCAGATAAATCCAAACCTGAGGTATATTCTATAAAATAACAAACCAGACTCTTCAAAGTGTCCAGATCATGAAGGACCAGAAAGGACTGAAAACCACGGCAGACTGAAGAGAAATAAGAACTAAATGCAATGTGATTCTCTGGATTGGATCCTTAACCAGAAAAAAACAACCACAAGTGAGAAAACTGGTGATATCTGAATAAGGTTTCTAATTTAACTAACAGTATTGTAAGAATGTTAATTTCCTGGTTTTGATAATTGTCCTATGGGCATGTAAGATGTTAATACTGCAGAAATCTGGATGAAGGGTATATGGGAACTCTGTAGTATCTTTGTAACTTTTTTGTCAGCCTAAAACTAGTTCAAAATAAAGGTGAAAAAAGAAAAGGAATGAATTACTGATCTATGCAACAGAAATGAACCTTGAAAACTGCTGAGTGAAAGAAGTCTCACACAAAAGAGTGCATACTGTAGGATTCCATTCATATGAAATCCTGTAAGAGGCAAAATTAATTTATTGTAGAATAAATCAAAATAGTAGTTGCCTCTGAAAGGAGGGGGCAAGAAATGATCATGAGGGGGCATGAGGGAATTTTTTGGGGCAGTAGCCATGTTCTATAACTTATTAGGGAGCTTTGGTTACCTAAGTGTATAACTTTTGTCAAACTTCAGAGAATGCACATAAAACTCACGCTTAAAAAAAAAAATTGGGGGGAGGCGCCTGGGTGGCTCAGTTGGTTAAACATCCGACTCCGGCTCAGGTCATGATCTCACCGGTCATGAGTTGGAGCCCCGCATCGGCCTCTGTACTGGCAGCTTGGACCCTGTCTCTCTCTGCCTCTGCACATAAATAATAAAATTTTTTTAATATTTATTATATTTGAGGGGCACCTGGGTGGCTCAGTCAGTTAAGCATCCGACTTTGGCTCAGGTCATGATCTCACGGTTCATGGGTTCGAGCCCTGCGTCAGGCTCTGTGCTACAGCTAGCTCAGAGCCTGGAGCCTGCTTCGGATTCCCTCTCTCCCTCTCTCTCTGACCCTCCCCTGCTCATTCTGCCTCTCTCTCTCTCTCTCTCTCTCTCTCAGAAATAAATAAAACATTAAAAAAATATTATTTTTGAGAGAGAGAGACAGAGCGTGAGCAGAGGAGGGGCAGACAGCAAGGGAAACAGAAACCGAAGCAGGCTCCAGGGTCCAGGGTTTAATGTTTAAACATTAAATAAATGTTTTTATTTATTTCTGAGAGAGAGAGAGAGAGAGACAGAATCTGAAGCAGGCTCCGGACTCAGCTGTCAGCACAGAGCCCAACTCAGGGCTCAAACTCATGAGCTGTGAGATCATGACCTGAGCTGAAGTCACTTAACTGACCCACCCAGGTGCGCCTAAAAAAATACACTGTATTTGAGAGCAAAAGAGCATGCAAATATGCTCACGCAGGGAAGCAGGGGAAGGTCAGAAGAAGAGGGAGAGAGAGAATCCCAAGCAGGCTTCATGCTGTCAGTGTAGAGCCTCACACAGGGCTTGATCCTATGAACTGTGAGATCACGACCTGAGCCAAAATCAAGAGTTAAATGCTCAGTCAACTGAGACACCCAGGTGTTCCAGAAGTTATGGATTTCACTGTATGAAAACTTTATATAAAAAACTTGTAAACAAATATTGAACTCTAGTTCATGATATACATGCCAAAGTGTTTAAAGGAAGGTATGATATCTGTGACTTACTATGAAATGATCCCCAAAAAGTAAGATGGGTTAATGCAGAGGCCAGCAAATGGCTGCCTGTTTTTGTATTTTATTCATTCATTCATTCATTCATTCATTCAGAGCACAAGCTTCAGAGGGACAGAGAGAAGCAGAGAGAGAGAGAGAATTCCAAGCAGGCTCTCCACTGTCAGTGCAGAGCCCAATGTGGGGCTCAAACTTACAAACCACAAGATCATGACCTCAGCTGAAGTTGGATACTTAATGGATTGAACCACTGAGGTGCCTGTTTTTGTAAATATTGTTTTATTGGGACACAGCCACATCCTTTTATTTATGTATTGTCTATGACTGCTTTCCTGCTACAATAACAGAGTGAGTAGTTATGACAGAAATATGTACTACCTACTTCTTTAAGAAAAAAGTTTAGGGGCGCCTGGGTGGCTTAGTCGGTTAAGCGTCCGACTTTCGCTTAGGTCATGATCTTGCGGTTCGTGGGTTTGAGCCCCGCGTCGGGCTCTGTGCTGACTGCCAGCTCAGAGCCTGGAGCCTGTTTCAGTCTGTGACTCCCTCTCTCTCTGACCCTCCCCTGCTCAAGCTGTCTCTCTCTCTGTCTCTCTCCTAGAAATAAATAAAAACATTAAAAAAGAAATTTAAAAAAAAAAAAAAAAGAAAAAAGTTTACTGACCCCTTTGCTGAAAGATGGGTATATGATATATAACACAGCAAGCGTAGCATAGTAAAATATCAATGTTAGAACCAAATCAGTGGATAAATGTGTGTTCCAAAAAAGTCTTTCAACTTGTATTTGAGTATTTTCATGAGAAAAATGTCAGAAAAAATATAACTAAATCTGTTTCTTTTGTTACCATTTTTTAACATTAAAGTAGTAAAATAAAATGATATAATGGTATTCTTCAACACTAAGAAAACTCTGAGTATGACTGACATAGCAACTTCCCTTAGAACATTTATAAGGAATTTTGTTCACTAAATAAAGAAGCAAGTCCTCTTTCCATTGATACAGATGGATGTTCTAGATCCATGACCAGACCAGTATTTCTTACAACCAGCCTTTCCTTGAGGTCATGGTCTTTGTTTTATTCAGCCTGAGACTAATAAAACTGATTAAAGTTCTGGTCATTCTTTTTTTTTTTTTAATTTTTAAATGTTTTTTTTTTATTTCTGAGAGAGAGAGAGAGAGAGAGAGAGTGAGCAGGGGAGGGTCAGAGAGAGGGAGACACAGAATCTGAAACGGGCTCTAGGCTCTGAGCAGGCGGTCAGCACAGAGCCCGACATGGGGCTCGAACCCACAAACTGAGATCATGACCTGAGTTGAAGTCGGAAGTTTACCGACTGAGCCACCCAGGCGCCCCAAGTTCTGGCTATTCTTATAATCACATGACTACCAAAAAGATTGGTTTACAGATACCAGGGATGGTTGTGAGGATGTCATCAGAGGACTTATTTGCAGGAGCAGGGTAGAAGGGGGAATTCTAATCCCATCCTTCTTGTCTCTGCACATTCTAGCATTCTCCAGTAGGCCCAGTACCTTAGCCATTCATGCAGCTTAGGCTTGTGGCTTTCAAAGTAGAGAAGAAATGAAAATTGAAGATTCTCTGTCCTTAGGAGGTAGCCCCTGCTCTCTATCTCCATCAAGGGAGGGAAGACAGGTTTAAGCATAGATCCTACACCAATGCCCTGAGGACACACATCACTCGCCATGCCTGAGTTCTATGCTGAGAAGTAATTACAAAAGGTGCCCCACATTCAAAGTCTGAGAAGTAGTCACACACTTCCAGTGGGTTAACTGCTACCAGAGAAGAGAACTCCATACTAGCATCTTTGGATAAATTACTCTGCAGCATAAATTCAGACCCTCCAAATGCTTTAAGCTAGGGTCATGTAAACCTGAGCATTTTCTTTCAACATGACCAAACAGCATAGTTCTTGAAGGATACTGTATTGGAGGAAGTATCAAAGCAAGTCAGAGAAATACTAGAAGTCATCTGTAAAGCTCATTATGATGAGTTACGGAAGTCAACAGAATGCAAACATTTTAAGTAAGATAAATCTAAAGTTTTATACCTCATTTGGCTGAGGCTAAGATTACAAAAACTTTTTTTTAAATACTTTTTTTTTTTAAATGTTTTATTTATTTCTGAGAGAGAGAAAGACAGTGTGAGCAGGGGAGGGTCCGAGAGAGAGGGAGATAGAGAATCTGAAGCAGGCTCCAGGCTCTGGGCCAGCTGTCAGCACAGAGCCCGATGTGGGGCTCGAACCCACGAACCGTGAGGTCATGACCTGAACTGAAGTCGGACGCTTAACCAACTGAGCCACCCAGGCACCCCTAAAAAACTTTTTTTTTAAGTAGACTCCACACCCAGCATAAAACTCACAACCCTTAAGTCAAGACCCAAGCTGAGATCAAGAGTCAAATACCTAACCAACTGAGTCACCAGGCAGGCACCCCCACCCCCCAAAACGGTTTAAATGACAAATAGGAGAAAAGCTAAAATACTAAAATACTTTTTAAAAACAATGTTACCTGATCCAGATTTTTGAAAAGGAGAATATCTTTGCAAGCTTCCTGAAGTCTGCATCTCTGTTGATCAGTTTTAGGATGAATCACCTGCCAATCCAAACGAAACCAGGGGAAATATTTTTATTCCATTTTAAAATCTGACTTTATTTACAGATCAGTACATTTCTTTCTCCTAAGAAGTGGAAAAATTAAGAGCACATTTACTATAACTTTAATTCTAAACAAATACCAAGCAAGGCCTTGACCATGGAGGGGCAAGGTGATGGGGGTGAAGAGCATTCACCCTGGAGCCACTCACTGTGTGACTGGCAGCAAGTCAGCTACTCCCCTGAGGGCCTCAGTGTCCTGATTTGTAAAGCAGAGGGCTATACACTTGTTCATTCAACAAATATTAAGCATCTACTGGGTGCCAAGCACTGTTCCACCTCTGGGAACATAGCCAACACACAGATAAAAACACCTGCTCTCATCTAAGAAATATGTAAAATATGTTAGAGAGTGACAGGCTAAGGAGAAAAATAAGGTAGGGAAGGGTGATAGAAAGTGTGTGAGTGGAGGGGGCAGATGAGGCCTTACTGAGAAGGTAACATCTGTGTAAAGAGCTCAAGGAAATGAGGATGACCTCAGAGAGTGAGCCATGTGGACGTCTCTGTGGGAAGAGTACCTCAAGCAGAGGTAATAGTAAATGAAAACAAGGCCTTGTGGTAGGTGAAGAGCATGTTTGAGAAATAATCAGGAGATGAGTATGACTGATGCAGAGCAAGGGGGAAGATCAGGAAGAGACCAAGTTGGGGGGTTAGATGAAGGTGATGCCCAAATCACAGAGGGCATTATAGGTCACAGAACTAGAACTTCTCGCTAGCCAAATGGGGGCAATTTGAAGGATCTGACTGAGGCATGAAAGAGATCTGACTCATGTTTTTAAAGGCTCATACTGGCTACTGAGTGCAGAACAGCCTTGAGGGAAGAGTGGAAGCCAGATGCTACTGTGATTACTCCAGTGCCGTATGGCAGTGGTTAGGACCAGGGTGGTAGCCATGGAGCTGTTGAGACGCAGCGGAATTCTGGATACGTTTTGAAGCCTGAGCCCATCGGACTTTCTGAAAAACTGCATGTAGGCATGAAGAAATAAGAGGAGCTGAGGGTGACCCTTAAGTTTTAGGCCTGAGCCCTCTTGGGAGGATGTAGCTGCCATAAAGTGAGCTGGGGGAAGACTGGGTGGAGAAAAATGTTTAAAAGGAAATAATCAGGAGCTCACCTTAAGTCTGAGTTGCCTACTGAAATCTAAATGGAGATGGCAAATAAACAATGGCTATAAATGCTGCATTTCAAACATCAACAATTTGGTGGTGGTGGTGGTGGTGGTGGTGATAGTATCCACTAACTCAGTGTTGCTGGAAGGATTAAACAAGTTAATGCATGCAGTACTTACAACAGTACCTGGCATTTAGTAGGTGTCAAAAACTGATATTATTATTACTGATGGTCAATAAATGTTTATTTAACTAAAAAGAAACAGCGACTAGTAGAGCTGTTATAATTCAGAGATCTAAGCCCTGTCTTCACCCTAAAAAAAAGTACATTGCTTAACCTGACAAGAAATAACAAGATGTCAAAAGTATTAAGTATTTTAAATTTGTGATATTAAAAAGTTAATAAAAAGTCATCAAAAATTTTACAATAACCAGAATAAACTCTTTAAAAATCTACATATCTATTATAGTCACACAATGGTAGTAGCGTTTTATTATTAAACTACTTCAGAAGTCTTTCAAGGGCTGCTCATTTTAAGGCATACTTGAAAGATCATTAAAGCTTCTTTTATAACATCAATCTTTGAAAAATGGTGGCTCATATTTGCTTTTATAAAAATAATTTGGTAATTGTTTAAAAGTTTAAATATCTGAGTTTTTAAGAAAGGACCAAAAGTGCACCACATTCCTGCCATAACCACTGTTAACATCTGGAATATATCCTTCCAGAGAAAATTTTTTGTACTAATAAATAAATAATAGATGGACAGATAGGTAAATATATATATGTGTGTGTATACATATTTTAGAGTTTATTTAATTTTTTCAGTAATCTCTACACCCAACATGGGGCTCAAACTCACAACCCTGAGATCAAGAGCTACATGCTCTTCTGATTAAACCAACCAAGTGCCCCAGATAACTATATTATTTTTTATTTTAGAAAATATACCTCATATAAATACAACATTCCATGCCATTAAACCTGGTCCTACAATCATTTCCAATGGCTGCAGAATCCCTTAATTTGAATGTACTACAATTTAGCCCTTCGTAATCCCCTACTTTGGGTCATTTAAGTGGTTTCCATTTTTTTTACTATTACAACACCGTAATTATCCCTGTTTGTACATTTTCAGGAAGGATCCAGCTAGGCACCCCTTCCTAACACAACCCCAACTGCTCTGTTTTCATTCTTCTTAGTATTTGTCAATCTGGTAGATAAAAAAAATAGCATCTTGTTGAGATTCTGATTTGTACTTATTTTAATCATCAGCATGATTAGATTTGGCATATAGAGGAGGAGAAGAGTGGGGAATACAACAATTCTACCTAATACCTTTGCATCAGTATCTTACCCTTGGATCAGTATCTTCCTCTTCCTCATCAGGGTTATAGGTCTCAGCACAGACTAAATTTGGAGAGAAAAAAAAGAAAAGAAAAATGAATAAAACAGATGTGAGCTTTTACTGGGAAAATAGGTGAAAACAGTTTCCTTTTATTTACTGTTTTCTAAAGCTGTAATGATCTTTAAAAGCCTTTTCTTCAGTTAACAAACATATTAAATACCTAGTAATGCCAGGCCTTCTATCAGGTGCTAAAATGCCAGCTTTCTAGGCACTGGTAATCCCAAATAGGAGAGAGCTGATAAAATATATCCCATACTAAGTCTTATAGTAATGGCAAAGACAAGCAAGGAGGTGTTATCTTTACTGAATTTTAATGTAGGGGCAGAAAACCACGAAGTACAATATATGCAACATAAATACCCATGTGATAAATACCCAAATACCCATGTGATACGATGGAATTATCATACACAAATACCATGTGATTACCCATGTGATAAATACCCAAATACCCATGTGATATGATGGAATTATCATATACAAATACCATGTGATTTCCCTCATATGTGGAATTTAAGAAAAAAAAACAGATGAACATAGGGGAAGAGAAGGAAAAAAAAGATAAAAGCAGAGGGAGGCAAACCATAAGAGACTCTTAACTACAGAGAACAAACTGAGGGTTGCTGGAAGGGAGTTGGAGGGGGATGGGCTAAATGGGTGATGGGTACTAAGAAGGGCACTTGTTGGGATGAGCACTGGGTGTTATATGTAGTGATGAGTCACTAAATTCTATTTCTGAAACCATTATTACACTATTTGTTAACTAGGATTTAAATTAAAAAATAAAATAAAATAAAGGGCCTATGAAACATATACACACACAGAGAGATAAATTACAAAAAGAATCAATTAAAATTGTTCAACATCATTGGGGCACCTGGGTGGCTCAGCTGGTTAAGTCTCTGACTTCAGCTCAGGTCATGATCTCATCGTTTTTGAGTTCAAAAGCGACATCGACTCTCTGCTGTCAACTCAGAGCCCACTTCAGATCCTCTGAGTTCCTCTCTCTCTGCCCCTCCCCTGCCTTGCACACTCTCTCAAAAATAAATAAACATTAAAAAAAATTGCTCAACATCATCATTTACATGAATGACTTTAAAAACAAGGATGAATTTCAAACAAATGATACTATGTGTATGTGTCAGTCTCTGTTCTGGGTACAGTATTATCTAAAGCCCAACTTTTTTTTTTTTTTTTTTTTTGTAGATAACCTGTGTTTGTGCCAGCTGACTGCAAGACTTGTCTTTGTTGCTATTCAAAGATCTAGAAAATATTCACTGAACATTTGCTTATCATAACAAAATATCAGAAATGATATAACTACCTATTTGAATAATACAGCTATAAGAAACAATGAGAGGGGCACCTGGGTGGCTCAGTCAGTTAAGTGTCCTCAGGTCATGATCTTAGGGTCCTAAGATGAGCCCCATGTTCTCGGGCTCCCTGCTGGAGCAGGGTGGGTGTGGAGCCTGCTTAAGATTCTCTCTCTCTCTCTCTCTCTCTCTCTCTCTGTCCCTGTCCCTCTCCCCTGCTGGCTAGCTCTCTCTCTCTCTCTCAAAAAAAAATAAAATAAAACAAAAATAAATAAATAAAAGAAAGAAAGAAAAGAAAAGAAAAAAAGAACAAGGAAGATCTCTATGGGCTAATAATGAATTCTAGGGAAAAAAAGCAAGGTGAGGGATATATATAGTATGCTATGCCTTCCATAAGAAAGGACTTCTATGAGAAAGAAGGAGAGCTAAGAATGAGGGGAAATAAATACATAAATATGAATATATATACAAAATGGTTTTTTTTTTTACTTATCTATTTTTCCAAAGGGAAACAAAAATAAGAATAAACCAGGAATTAGCAGGCAAGAAATTTAAATGGTTCTTGACCCCTATACTCAATACTAACAACTAGGAGACAAATTGACACATACTGCTCTAAATTTAACTCCTGATTTCTTAGACACATTTACTCACTGCAGCCTTGGTCTAGCTGCATCCCAGATTCCCCTTCCCATTGATTCTCTGAACTCAAAGAATACCTGAAAAATGGTATGTTGTGTAGACAGGACTCTCTTCCTGCCTAGCCGACAATACTGTAGTGTGGACCACACCCCTTGTATTGTAATACCACCAATATCCTGCCGATCCAACAGGGACCCAGTATCCTTACACAGAGGAAAAATCAGGGAGTAAGAGGACAAATACCATTCTGGTCCCTAAAACAGCATCAGGTGATGCTCTGTAGGGAAGTCTCCTGAGTCCCTAGCTGGTAGAGGCTTTGGGTAGCTGAGCCATGTAAGCGACAATGGGATGTAGATAAATGACTCAGTAACTTTCTCCCAGCCATTCCTGATTCCAGAAAATGAAGTCAATGTACATTTATCTCAGATCTCTCCTAAAGAATAAGACACACAACTTCCTGAGCTCCTAGATGCCACTGCTGCCACTTTTTGCGTCTTTGCAGGTATCTAGGTAGGGGATTTGAGGAAGCTGTGCTGAGAGCACACACTATGTTAAACTCCAAGCCCCCTGGTTCTCTATGCTCTTGATTAATGTTGTCATTAATAGCCCAGCTTTCTAAACTGGAAATCTGTAACTCACCAGCACTTCCTTCATTCACCTCTTATCCAATGAACACATCAAATTCAACTTCAGAAATATTCTCATATCTGATCTTTATTCGATCTACTCCAATTGCTTGGTGCAGGAACTCAAAATGTCTTCTTAGAAAAATGTATTTAAAATCTCTCACTTTGGAGAGAGACAGGTACATGGATATTATTATACAAACTTTCTCTATTTCTGTGTATGTATGAAAATTTTCATTTAAAAAGTTTAAAATAATAAGCCTTCAATGATGAGACTGACAGCATTTTACTGATAATGATACAGTCTCAGGCTAGCCTATTTCCAGGCTTGCTTTTCCTCTGATTTTGAAGGAAAGTACTGCAGCAACTTAGCTCATTTATATACTTTTAGACATTAACATAACTGCTGCAGCAAATGTTAGTTTTCAAGTCTTAAGGTACAGCACTGTGATTTAAACAAATGTAGTTATGTCCAGTAAAATTATTAATGTTTGGATTTGTGGAAAAGTATTACACTTTTATTTTTCAAAACTAGTTTTGAGTTTTTTCCATTCTTTTGAACTTCAGACTTACCTCCCTTTGCCTTTTCCCTGTTTCCACCCAACCTCTTTACTTCTTCCTGGTCTTGTTCCCAAATCACTTTTCTCATCTTCTATATAAAGAATCCATTTTTAAGTGTCTATGTGATTGTTGCCCCTTGTGTTTGTACACATCAGGGAGCTTGTTTCAATGTACAAGTGACCTGGGGGGAAAGCCCAGAGTCTGTGTGATGCCCTCTGAAGCCTCCAGAACTACACTAAGTGTCATGAGATGCTCAAGACCTACTGAAAATGAAGACTGAAAGAGTAGCAAAATCCCTTGTTCACGGGAATTTGTTTTGCCACAGTTCTCCAGCAGATGTCACTGGTTAGTAATATGAAACTGTACAAAGGGACCAGAGACTATCCAGCACAAATTTCTTCTTCCAAATTTTAACTGATGCTTCCTTCATCCAGAAATGTGAATAATTTTTTAAAAAAAGATTTTACTTTTAAGTCATCTCTACACCCAATGTGGGGCTCAAACTTATGACCCTGAGATAAAAAAATCACACACTCCACTGACTGAGCCAGCCAGGTGCCTCCAGAAAGGTGAATCATTAAAATGTGCTGATGAGAGGCAAACCTTTCATTTCTACAAAGAAATGAGCACCGATCCTGGTCACAGCCTGAGGCCTTATGCTGTCTTGCAAGCTCCCATGAAGAACTGATTCAGCCTGTTCGTGTTAGTCAGCTTGGGCCACCATTACAAAATACCAGTCTGAGTGACTTAAAGAAAAGAAATCTATTCCCTCACAGATATGGAGGATGGAAGTTCAAGATCAGGGTATTGGCACATTGTGCTTCTCCTGGGGCCTCTTCACTTGGCTTGTGGGTGGCTGCCTTCTCACTGTGTCCTCACATGGTCCTCTGTCTCTGTGGTGCACTCGTGGTGTCTTCCTTTCTCTCTCTCTCTCTTTTTTTTAAAGTAGACTCTTCACCCAGGATGAGCCCAACTAGGAACTCCAACTCAGGACCCTGAGAGATCAAGACCTGAGCTACGATCAAGAGTCAGATGCTTAACCAAAAGAGCCACACAAGTGCCTTACTTCCTCTTCTTATAAGGAAATCAGTCCTTCTGGATTAGGACTCCACCCTTAACACTTTATTTAACTTTAACTGCCTCTTTTTTTTTTTTTTTTTTTTTTTTAAAAAAGGCCCTATCTCCACATACGGTCATACTGGGGTTATGCTTCAACATAAAAATTTGAGGGGAACACAATTTAGTACTTAACACTGGGTTTATAAATTATTTTAAGAAATGCTTGGTGATATTTCAGCTGAAGATAGCTATTGGTGGAAAAAATACTAAATACTGTGAAAGGATATTGAGACAAAAATCACTATTTCATTCCACTGTAATCATGTAAGCCTCAAAGGCAGGGACGCCTGGGGAAGGAAAAGTACCTATCATACAGACATGAGTGACTGTCGCAGTACCAGATTCTCAGCAGACTCTACTGACTGGGAACAGTCATCACCAAGTGTCAGACGTTCCCCTCCTAAATGTGGCATGATGTCAATACACACATTTCTTACTAAAATGCTTTGAAACTTCGACATATATTTAATAAATGAAAGGGGTTTCTGGGGATGATGTTTTTTTAATTAACAGGATCAGAGTAACATTTCAAACTCAAAGGCAGTTAATACTACTTTAGGACTATTTCAAGAAAGCTGCTTTTAAAGAATTTATGAACTCTCTTCATTTGATGAATTTATCACATGATGTAGAAGGACTGTTGTGCTAGAACTTAGAAGTTCTAGAACTTAGAAGTTCTAGAACTTAGAACTTGGAAGGCACAGCTTTTCAATTCCAAATGCTTTCCAATGGAGAGGCAGC